GTGCGCCCAGGCCACCGCCGGGTCGGATCCCGAGGGCGCCGGAGCTCCCGCTCCTTATTACCAAGCGGGGCCTTGCCCTGTGGGAGGACCCCGCGGGGCCTGCTGGGCGCCCTCCTCCCTCTCGGCCGACCCCGCCTACTGAGACTGGGACCGCGGCCAGGGCGACCACCCGGACCGGGCGTCTGGAGCTGCGTTCCCAGCGGCCCCAAGGGCGAGCTACTTCATTTCCACCTGTTGCCTTTTACCCCACCACACACGTTTTCTATAAGGGTTCCTTTGGGCTTTCCTCAAGGCGCTCTGGTGGTGTGGTGGTTAAAGCACTTGGCTGTTAACCGAAAGATCGGCGGTTTAAACCTACCAGCCGCTCTGCGGAAGACAGATGAGGCAGTATGCTTTGGTAATCAGCCTTTGGAAACAATGGGGGTCGCTATGAGTCGGAATCGACTCAATGGCAGTGAGTTTGGTTTTTTGTCTTGGGCTTGCCGCAAGGCTGGAGACCTCTCCCTTAGACCCTTCACTCAGGATCTGAGACCTTCAGTTCTAAGACACACACACCCTCTCCCGGTCAGGGTGCAGGAGAGAGGCCTTTGAAGTCCAAGGTACGAAGTGACTGCTTGTTGAATGTACGGGACAGAGTCAAACATCAGACAGTCCCAGTGCCTGCCCAGGTGCCTCAGGGTCTGAGGTTTGAAAAGGAGAAAATACGGGCTTTGCTCCTCAGGCTTCAGGAAGGAGGGGACTCTTGGGGAGGATACAGGGGCATGGGAAGTAGTAGAATGCAGGGAATAATACTTTGGAGGGGCAACTGTAGAAGAGCCCACCCCAATGCCAGGAACCCAAGGCTGGCCTTGAACCCATCACAGATCTGAAAGAGGCTTCAGGGGTCTTTACATGGACCATCCCACCTTATCCTGATTGCAGCCTTTCAAGATATGGCGGTTATCATCATCTTTTACAGCTGGGAGAACAGAGGCAGAGGTTGATCTGCCCAAGGCCACCCAGTTAGGGAGTGTCAGGACTTGAACCGAGGTCGACTTAGCTCAGAGCCCTTGCTTGTGACCAGCACTCTGCCTTTCTTTTCAGGATGCTGTGGGCACCCACAAGATAAACCTCTTTCACACTGCTGGAGTTATTTTGTTATTTCTCCTCCCCTCCATCTGTTCCCATTGTGAGAAAGGGCCTAAAGCATGAACCAAGATTTCCCTGGCTGAAGTGAAAAAACTCCGTCAATTCAGATTAGGAGCTTTTGCTTGAGTTTGGATGACATTCAAGAGTGAGCGCTAACCACGGCTAAGAATAGCCCAATTTACTGTGGTATCTCTAGCAGTGAACTTGGGTGAGAGGCTCCAGTTTCTCTGCACAGAGCTCCCTCTGGTGGCACATGAATGAACTGGGCCTTCTGCAGGCTGACTTAGTCCCCAGACAGGTGAAGAGAGTTAAGCAGATCAGGGGAAGATGCTGGAAGTGAAAGAAGCCTCAAAGTCATGGCCCTCTAGAGAAGGTGAACTGTAGGAAGTTCATGGAAACCTTCAAGGGTCAGAGACCAGGAACCTTTATTCTGATATGAAGCCATGAAGTGACTGCACACGCTGAAGCCGGTCAGTGTAGCATGTTCTCGCACTGGCAAGTGGGGCTTGCTGCAGAATGAGCCCTGTGGACAGGTACATGTGGGGTTCCCATCCTGGTGTGGTGCCTGCGCAGTGGCCCCA